CCGCCCCCACACTCTGCCCCCCGCGTGTCAGGTGGTGGGCCCCCGCCCGAGGAGGGGGTGGTGAGTTGTTGTGAGTCGTGACCGTCAGGTGAACCCCACTGACTGTGTGTGTACTTTTGTGTGTTGCAGGCGGACGAGCCCTCGGAGGACGCCGCCATCATGGACGACTACATCAAGAGCACGGCGCCGGAGGAAGGGTTCAAAGGTGAGGCGGGCAAACCTGCTGTTTGCGTTTTAGACGTCGTGACGGGCTTCACCTGTTGCGAGCGAGGGTGGGTGCAAGTGTGCAGCAGCGGAGCCTGCCGTCGTGGGTTCAAAAAACCTCGTTTATGTGTTGTGGGTTTTTTTTATCGGGGGGAAAGGGGGAGGGGGCAGCGACGGTCTTGAACTTTGCCGCGACCTAGATTCTTGTCGTTGTAGAAAACGGGTGCACTCAGCGTAAGGAGCCCTAGTTGACCCGCCGGGCCGACCCCTCACTCCTTGCAGGAGGTGGGCGGGAGCGGCACGGGAGGGGAGGAGAGGGGAGTCAAGGATGATAGCGTAAGCCGCCGGGGCCAAGGAGCCCGTCGCGGGGGCGGCGACGACGGGGGTAGGGGGAGCGGGAGGAGATTAGTGCGAGGAGCGACCCAGTTTGTCTTTCATCAAGAGGGTCTTTGGGGCGAGGCGGAGAGGTGGCGCGGTCCCGTGCAAGAACCTTGTATTGCCGGTGTGCGGCCGCCGGGGCGCTGCGGTGGACGCGCGCGGGACGTGAGGGGGTGGGGGGAGGATTAGGGACTCGTTGTCGACCAGCGGGAGGCCGCCCGTAGTGAGGGTTGAGACGGAAGGGTTGGTGGGTGAGGGGCCGCAGATGACGAACGGGGATGAACGGTTGTTCACAAAACGTCTCGCGCAACAGCGCAGAGCTGCAGCAGCAGCATCTTCTGTTTGGCATCTAACGCGTCCATCGGGCTGGACTCCGCCCCCGGCCCCGGGGTGGTATGTTCGTCGTTACGTGGTTGGTGGACGGGCGGGCCGGGGCGGGCCCCGTGAGCGCGCCGGGCTACGACGCGACGATTAGACCGATCGGTCGATTACGACAGATTTATTGGTCGGCAGCAACCGGCCGGATTCTTATCGACGATCGAAAGTGAAAAGTTATGTGCGGCTGCTGCTGCTGCTGCTGTTGCTGCCGGGGCCGCTCCGCGCACCGCGAGGGGTGGTGGGGTGGTGGCGGGTGCGATCAGTGCAGCGGCGGCAGCAAAAGGCCGCGCTGCGCGCTGCGCGCCGGGCCAGGACCTGCGGCGGAAGTTGTCACTCTCCCACGGGCCGGGCGGGGCGGGGCCGGCTGACCAATGGCGAGCTGTTACAGGGGCGGTGGTTAGCAACGGATCCGAATGCATACTGGGCGCCCGATCACGAGCACACCCGGCGGGGCGATCATGCCGTGGTGATAATGATGATAAAGTTGATAATGATAATGATGAAGCTGCGAGGCAAATGCGCGCTCGGTAGCGTGGGACTGTTGCAAAGAGGTCTGCGCTGCGCTGCGCGCTGGGGAACTCTTTTGCCCTCCGGGGGTGGTGGTGGGGTTATTGCCAGGAGTCGAGGGGCAAAAAAAGAAGTAGTATGGCAAAAGGTAATGGGGCGCTAGGAGTCGAACCCAAGCGACAGTTATGGAGGTGTAATTTTTGTGTTGCGTTTGTTTCAGGTACCGGTCTGCTGTCGCGGTAGACCCCGCCGCCGCTGCTGCAGCTCTCCCCGTCCGGACGAGGCCTTCCCCGCGCCCGTCGGCCTCGCCGCCGCCACCGCCGGCGCCCGCCCCTGCCCGGCCCAGCTGTCGCCAAAAGTGGCAATATTTCCTCGTTCCTTTCTGTTCGGATGGCACCACGGCGGTCGTGCCATATGCTTTGTCAATTTTGACCCTGGACCATCCTCGACCTCGCTCGCCCCGCCGACAGACACCTCTGCCTTGTGCGTCACGCGCGTGGCCGGCCTGTGCGGGGAACGCCCGCGCCCGCTCTGGAGAGATGTGAGATTGAATGGAAAAATGAAGAGTAGTAGTAAATGTTTCTGTTTGTAAAGCGGAAGGAAGTCTTGTCCAGAGGGTCCACCCCCGCCCCGGTGTTGGAACCCGAACGGCCAAAACCTGCAAAGATTGTGATACTGATATTTACTGATATGTACTGATGCCTCTCATCTTGCTCTGGCCCGCCTTTCAATAGTGCAAAAGGTTTGGTGAAGCCTGAGCTTTGATGCTCATCTGATTGTCGCTCACAGATTGTGCTGATTGTTTCCAGAGAAGGATTGATAGAACCTATTGTACAATGGGTTCCCCTTTTGCACACGCATTGCAATAAAGGAGGCTACAGCATATATTTATTTTGTTAGCTTTTGTTTCCTCTTTTTGTTTCCGTTTAGTTCTTTGTTCATAATTGTTCATATTTGAAGATCAACATGTATTCATGTGTTGCTATGGAGTCACTTACAAGTAGTTCTGTTTTAGTAATGTAAAAAAAATCACTTAGTGGCTGCGTACGTCAATGGGGTTTTATCTTAAGTATAATAATTTGGGTGAGAGACTGAGTAAATAAATGTTTATACAGTAAGATGTTTTATTTTGGTTCATGACCATTTTCATAGTGATTTGTGGTAAAGGAACCTGATGTGTTGTACCATTTATTGTATACTACACACTATTTATTATAATTATTAAAAATCATAATGTTATCTGGAAAGTATTAGAAGCAGTCTATGTTAATTTTCAAGTAAGTCTGTGTGTACTCAGTTTTGTAAGAGAATTTTAGGTACTTTGAATAAAAAGCTGTGAATGTATTTTTTATGCATTGTTTTTTTTTTCTGTAGTGTTCCCCTGTAACCCCCTGACATTATTTGGTTGTGTGGCTAGAGGAATGTCACGTACTGTAAGTAGTCAGGATTGTCAAGGTGCTGATGCAGTACATTAGGCCTCGACCACTGTAAAATTGTTACAACTCGCCTTGCTGACATCAGTCAAATAAAAGCAAAAAAAAAAAAAAAAAAAAATGTCCCAGTTGGACTTGCCTGGTGCAACCAAATAATGCATTCCGGTAATGCTAAAATGCAGAAGAATGCGAGGAAGAAGAAAATGGAAATCACTATGCTTTTAGATTGGACTTCTTTTTCCCAGCAACCGGAATGCTTTATTATCTGCGGAGGGGAAGGAAAGGGGGGGGGGGGGGGGGAGGGGGGGGGGGGGGGGTTATCGGATCACAGCACACCCTACACGGAGTCAAGGACCCGTGGGGTCGCGCTATGATGAACAGGACTCGTATGAGAACTCAGACTGACTCAGACCCAGCCAACTAACTGGCACATTTCAGTCTGCAATCGCCCTCGGCTTAATTTCTTACAACTTTGCCAACTCTCTCCTGTGCCTGCATAGAGGTAAAAAAGAAACAAGCACCAAAGTTTAGAAGACCGTATGCGAGGTCGGGATTGAAAGTTAAAAAGTCCGGGAGATCCGTAATGCCCCTCCAGAACACGAATATTTGCATTACTGAAAAACCACTATTTGCAGGAAGGGATCTGTTCGCTTCCGGTTCCCTTCAGTTCGCTCGCTCGTCTCGACCAACGTGGTCGACTGCTGACTCGTGGATCGTCTTGTCCTTTCCTTCGTCTCGGGTGTTTTTTTTTGCGCTGGCAATAGTTTTTGAAATCGGCGTGAGTTTTAAAAATATGTTTCAGTTCCAGTACTCAAACAGTACTTTTGTGTGCCGTTAATCAGCAAAGAGGAAGCGTTTGCCATTACATTTCGTTGAAAGATCAACGCTTTGTTAACTGGCTAGTGTAGAGGTAGGTTATGGTTGAGGTTAGGACTAGGAACTAGGGTAACTTTGCGATGAATTCATGTCAAAATTAGTCCAGAACACTGGTTTTTACAAAATTCTTCGTACACACATTGTTTTATGATCCGTTTGCCAGAAAAATATTGACATTTCTGTTAATGATAATAGGGAATGAGTTGTTAATTCTGTGTTAGGTAATGAATTGAATTTGTTCTAGTTCTTCTGTGTCTTAGTCTATAGTATAAGATATTTACCCCTGATTTTTGAGGTGTCAAAGCAAAGTCTCCTCTTTATAGCAGATATGTTGGTTTTTTGATTGATTCATTTCAGCTCTCTGCTTTGGTCAGGTACACTTCACTCCTAAGAGTTGGTTTTTATGCTTGATAGGATATCCAAGTATTTTTCTGTGAAAATAGTTTAGTTACAAGTGGATGGTTTTGCTACAACTTATTCCTGATAACAACTTTTCGCTTGTAACGTAATTCTGGTCATCACTACTTAACCCTGCGTAGTGTCTGGACTCTACTTCTACAGCTGTTATATCTGCTTACAATCTTATCAGAAGATACTTTTCTATTGAAATATCACAGTCCTGATTCCACGTTCCGAATGTTAAAGTGCTTTTGTTTGGCGCAGGGTGTGCGCTGCTGTCGCTGA